AAATAAACAAGAACTAACGCCTAACAAATAAAAAAAAATCAAGAGAAACACGGAAACAAGAAAAATCACAAAAATAAAAGAAATACTGAAAACGAAATGAATAGGCACACAAAATAAGTCTTAAACCTTCCCCGGCAACGGCGCCAATTTTGTTGTAGTTATTTTAACCGGAGTTAAATCAAAAGATTCGAACACCGAGTCGTGTCTCAAGGAAGGTTAGCCGGATTATCTTATACGTATATTCAATCACCAAAAAAAAAAGAAATTAAATCCTAAACATTCTAGTTCAATTGGTTGGTTTGAATTATCAACTACGCGATTAACAACTAATGGTACTCAAACAAGAAATTCCAATTTGACACTCCAAAAACACAATTCAAAGAATGATAAGAATGACTAGGGAGTCGGGGACAATCGTTTCCGGTGGACTTCGTTGTTCTAGATGTGGGGGACGTACAGGAGAACGGGAAGGATCACACAATCCTTCTGGGCAGACCATTCATGGCCACCACCAACACCCTCATCGATGTGAAGAACGGGACATTGAATATGACGGTCTTGGGAGAATCCGTTTCTATTTCAGTCCGAGAAGCCACCTCTGCGCCCTCAGTGAACTTTGTGGAGGAGTGCGCCTTCGTTGACATATCCGACCAGTTTGTGAAGGAGACGACTGTACGTGACTACGAAGAGAGGTCAATGCCCAACCTTGATGACGAAGAAGAGCCAATCATTGAGCTTTTCGTAGCTGACGAGCCACACGCACCTACTCCACCCGCTTTAGAGCTTAAAGAATTACCCCGCCATCTCAAGTACGTCTTCCTAGATGACGAGAAGCAAAAGCCAGTTATCATCTTTGCCGAGCTTAACCGGGACGAGGAGAATGAGCTAATTGAGGTGCTTAAGAAGAATCAGAAAGCTATTGGGTGGAGCCTCGGAGATATAAAAGGCATCAGCCCCTCCACATGCATGCATCGAATCATCTTAGAGGAAGGTGCCAAGCCATTTCGGGATAGCCAGCGGCGGCTCAACCCAAATATGATGGAAGTAGTGAAGAAGGAGGTACTCAAGCTCTATTCAGAAGGGCTCATTTACCCTGTGGCGGACAGCGAGTGGGTCAGCCCCATACATGTAGTTCCGAAGAAAGGGGGTATCACGGTGATCGAAAACGAGAAGAAGGAGATGGTCCCCACTCGAATCACTACCGGGTGGAGAATGTGCATTGATTACCGGCGCCTCAATGCCGTGACAAAAAAAGATCACTTCCCGTTACCCTTCATCGATCAAATTCTCGACCGTCTCTTGGGCCACCAGTTCTACTGCTTCTTAGACGGACTCTCGGGCTACTATCAAGTGGCCATAGCTCCGGAGGATCAGCCCAAAACAACTTTCACGTGCCCATTCGGCACCTTTGCCTTCAGACGTATGCCCTTTGGCATGTGCAATGCTCCCGGGACCTTCCAACGGTGCATGTTCTCCATATTCTCCGACATGCTCGAGGACTGCTTACAGGTATTTATGGATGACTTCTCTATTTTTGGTACTTCATTTTCTGATTGTCTCCATAACTTATCTCGTGTCCTTGAGAGATGTATTGAATCTAACTTGACATTGAGTTGGGAGAAAAGTCATTTTATGGTGACTAGTGGAGTTGTGTTAGGCCATGTGGTGTCTAATCGCGGTATTGAGGTTGATAAGGCTAAGATTGATGTTATTGAAAAACTCCCTCCTCCTGTGAATGTTAAGGGAGTTAGAAGTTTTTTGGGTCATGCTGGCTTTTATAGGAGATTTATTAAAGATTTTTCGAAAATTAGTCAGCCCTTGTGTCACTTGCTTGCTAATGATGTGCCATTTGTGTTTGATAATGCATGTGTAGATGCCTTTGATAAGTTAAAGAATAAGCTTGTGACTGCACCCATTGTAATAGCTCCTGATTGGTCATTGCCTTTTGAGATTATATGTGATGCTTCGAACCTTGCTGTTGGAGCCGTTTTGGGTCAACGAGTTGATAAGTTACTTCGTGTAATTTATTATGCTAGTTTGACCTTAAACGGTGCCCAATTGAACTATACCACCACCGAAAAAGAGCTTTTGGCTGTTGTGTTTTCTCTTGAAAAATTTAGGTCTTATATCTTGGGATCTAAAGTAATTGTGCATTCAGACCATGCAGCCCTTAGGTATCTTTTGAGTAAAACTCAATCGAAACCTAGGCTTATTCGGTGGATTCTTCTTTTGCAAGAGTTTGATGTAGAGATTAGAGATAGGAAAAGGTGTGAAAATGTTGTTGCTGATCATTTGTCTCGTATTGTTCCTTCTGAACCTTCACTTGCATTGCATGAGCATGTTGGTATAAATGATGACTTTCCATATGAGCATGCGGGTGAAGTGACTAATGTTCCTTGGTATGCTGATATCGTCAATTACTTGTCAGATGGTGTCTTGTTGGCTAACCTCTCTTCCCAAGAGAGAAAACGTTTTGTGTTGATGTGTAGGAGTTACTTTTGGGATGACCCATTCCTTTTCAAGATGGGAAAAGACGAGATCCTTCGGAGGTGTGTGCCCGAAGAAGAACAACCGAATGTCCTTGCTTTTTGCCACGAGCTTCAGTGTGGGGGACATTTTGGAGGTCGAAAGACGGCCCTTAAGGTCCTCCAATCAGGTTTATTTTGGCCGACCCTTTTTAAAGATGCTTATATTTTTTGCAAATCTTGTGACCGTTGTCAACGAATTGGGAATATTGGTCCAAGAAATGAAATGCCTTTAGTTAATAATCTTCAAGTTGAAATCTTTGATGTATGGGGCATTGATTTTATGGGCCCGTTTTCCAAATCTTGTGGTTTTGAGTATATTCTTCTCGCCGTAGATTACGTGTCTAAGTGGGTTGAGGCTATCCCCACGAGGACATGTGATGCTAAAGTGGTCATCAAGTTTTTGCAGGGACATGTGTTGAGCAGGTTCGGATTCCCACGTGTTATTGTGAGCGATGGAGGCAGACACTTTTGTAACCGGATTTTTGAGAAATTGATGAAGAAATACGGGATTTCACACAGAGTGGCCACCCCATACCATCCGCAAACTTCGGGCCAAGCAGAGACGAGCAACAAGCACATCTAGACCATTCTTGAAAAGACAGTAAACTCGTCCAGGAAAGATTGGTCGAGTAGACTCGATGATGCACTATGGGCCCAAAGGACAGCATACAAGGGAGTTTTGGGGATGAGTCCATTCCGCCTAGTCTATGGAAAGGCGTGTCACCTTCCAGTGGAAATCGAGCACAAGGCATTCTGGGCAATTAAAAAGATGAACTTCGACCTTGATTCGTCCGGCAAAGAGCGATTACTGCAACTCTCGGAGCTAGAAGAGTGGAGGAATGAGGCTTACGAGAACTCCAAAATTTACAAGGAAAAAACAAAGAAGCTTCATGATGCTACTCTTATCCGGAAAAATCTCGTACCCGGTATGAAAGTTCTTCTCTTTAATTCCCGACTCCGTCTCTTTCCCGGGAAGCTCAAATCACGTTGGAGTGGACCGTATATTGTTGATGAAGTGTTGTCATTTGGAGCCATCCGTTTGCGTAATCCGGCAAACAACGAGTTATTCTTGGTTAACAGGCAGAGAGTGAAACCATACTTCGATGGCGAATTCGGGAAATACCATGTCGAGACCATCGGTCTCGGCGATGCCGTGTATCCTTGATCCAAAATTGTGCCGAGCTCCCGGCTTAAAACTGAGCAATTATTTGTACTTTTTTGTGTATATCTATATATATTTCTGTTAAAAAAAAAAAAAAATATTGTCGCCGCGGGCCGCGAGGCTTTTTTTAGCCGCGGCTGCGGCGACCATTATTTGATGAGCCGATTCTCATTTCTGCAGGAAAAATTTCGCGGCCACGGAGCAACCTCGCGACCGCGGAGTCGGATCGCGGCCGCGAGACTTTCCTTCGCCGCGGCCGCGGCGATGTAACACTCGCCAAAGGTTCATTTCTGCGTCTAAAATCTCGCGGCCGCGGGGGATGTCGCGGCCGCGGCGCCCGCGATGTTATGATTAAATCCCTTTTTCTCAGCTGAACGCCCATTTCCCCTATCATTTTTTTTCGAACGGCAGTCCCGACATTTCCATTGCTCCTCGCCTCCGATCACTCGACGGCCACCGCCGACCAGCCACCGGCGACACATCTTCGATCACACGACGACCATCCCGACACCACCCCTCCTCCTCTTACTTTCCACGCGCGGCACCTCCACACTCTGAACCCTAGCCGACTTCGCCATCAATCCCGACCATCCGACTGGCCCACCAGCTCCGGCGACTTCCCACGGCGACCTCCGGCCACGTGCTATCCCGGTTCGCCATTCATCACCTCTAACATCTCTTTCCGTCTCCAGTCAGAACCCACCTCACTCGAACCCTAGCTCGTGACGAAATTGCTCGTGTTCGGCCCGAACTCGCACCAAAAGGTACCGATGGCTTACTCTTCTTGACGTCCGTTGATTGTTGAGGCGTGAGGAGGCCAACTCCGGGATCGAGCCATTTCGTATTGTTCCCAAGTTTTTAGTTCGAAGTTCCGCACGCCAAGTGTTCGACATATTGCTCGATAGACCGTTCAAATGGGCAAGAATCCGTTTTGTCCCACCAAGAAGAAAACCACTCAAGAACCGCCTAGGAAGCGTCAAGCGGGCGAATCCTCCTCTCGAGATGCCCCTCCGGAAGGTGAACGAGATGATCTTTCGGACCAATACGGGGCTCCGTTCCCGATTTATTCTCGGAAGGAGGGCAAGATTTATGCCCGACTCTCGCAAAAGGAGGTCGTGCGACCGAAGGCGGTGGACTGGGACCTCTTGAACGATTTGAGTATCCTGGAGGACATGATGAAGTACCTCAAGGTCTTGAACTTAACCGACTACGCTAAGATTGAGGAGAGGTCGTAGCGGACCCTTATGCTTGAGTTCTAAAGCTCTTTCGTTCTCGCCGATGGGAACGACTTCTTCACTTGTCGGCTTCAGGGACAAGAACTCATGGTGGACAATGCCGTGATGAAGGCGGTTTGCGGGTTCAACTTCGCCGGTACACGAAGCAAAGCCGCCGATTTTGATCCCCAGAAGAGTTGGGCCGAGCTCTCCCCGCATACGACGTGGGATTCCGCTGGTATGTCCAACGGGCTTATCCAGGACCTGGCCACTGCCGTTGTGCACCGGTTCATCTGCTACAATATTACCGGCAAAAAGGAGGCGAACAAAGTCAGTGAGGGTGAACTTTTTCTCCTCTGGGCGATGCGGTCGGGAGTGCGAGTGTGTTCGATGACCTTCCTTCAGAACTCTTTCCAGGAGATTGTCCTCTCCAAGCGTGGACTACCGGCGCTCGGACATTTTGTTACCGCACTCGCTCACCACTTCGACGTCACTCCAGAAGCATACAGATTACATGGGGAAATGGCGCTTCAAGACAAGTCTGAGATGCGGTGTATCAACTTTAATGAGCTCAAGCAGGCTGACCTTATTCTGAACCGGCGAACAGCTAAGGAGTATACGAAACATACTGCATACGAGACCTATTTTAAGAAGCTCCAGCAGGGTCAGCCTCACTCTACTCAGGCAGGCTCGTCTCGGCAACCGACGGAGAGAGACGAGCATGAGCAGATGAATGTTGACGAGGACCATTTACTTCCGCCTCCACCCGCGTGGACGCCGGCTTCGAGCCCACACCCGGAGATTCCTCCACAGCAGCCTCCGGCATGGTGGTCCACATTTCAGACTCAGTACACAGCCGACATCCGCTCTATCCACGATCGCTTTGACGCCCAGGACAGCAGATGGGCTGCCCTCGAGAGCCGACAGACCATGCAGTGGACCAGCTGGGAAACACAGCAGAACACTCGATGGGACCAGTGGGAGACCCAGCAGCAGGCCCACTGGACTCAGATGGGTACGCAGTTCGATACCTTTGCTGGTGGCCTCCAGTCGATCCGCGAGCGGCAGGACCAGCAGGACGCTCGGATGAACAGCTGGGACCAGCGATTCACTCTGTGGGACACCCGTTGGGGTTCGGGTCCCAGTCACCCTCACCAGCCACCATAAACTCTGGATGCACAGTGACTTGTCACTGTGCTTTGTATGTTCTCTTTTTTTCCCTTTCTCTTTTTATTTGTGTACAGCTTCTTTGTTTTTGTTTTTGCGTTGGTCTGTTATATGGTCTCACTCTCCTTCACCGCGTCTCAACAATGGGGACATTGTCTGGTTTTCAGTGTGGGGGAGTTTTACGTGATTATGTGGTTGACCAGGTCTAGTTTTTCCTTTTAGGATTGTGTTTATTTCATTATTTCTTTTCTCTTGCATGGTGGTCCAGGATAGTTTTTAGGATTATTTGTGGTGTCTTTGTGAGCTTGGACGTTGGTGTATTGTAAGACTAGTTGATGATTGGTTGATTGAGTTAGGAAGTTGTGATGATGAGAATGAGTGTCACATTTCGATGAATTGGCTTGGTGGTTTTGTTGACATTTATTTTACCTTGTGAGGCTTTGAGCCATATTCATTTCTTTTCTTGTGAGTTATTGGTCGGAATCGTTATCAATTAGAATTTGCCTTGAGTCTGCTATGAAATGAAATAACTGGATTTGTGAACGTGAATATGATTGAGGCATTCTTTGTCTTTCCCTTCCTTTTTCTTTTTCCTGAGAATAATGCCGCTAGTCACCCCTTTTGAGCCTTATTGATTTTCTTTCTCTTACCTCGTGACGATTATATCATGGAGTTACGTGCGTGGATTGGGAGGTGATTTGCGCTGGTATATCGTAAAAAAAAAAAAATAAAAAAACAAAAAAAAAAGCAAATGTATAAAAAATGGAAATGTTGAATAAATGGGTAGTAGGTTGACTTGGAGTAGTGGGAGGAACCGGTTGGTGTCAGCAACCGGAGGAGTTTATGATTACGGTTATCTGATTGAGTTGAGTTGATTTTTATTTAGCCAGTTAGCCTATATTTATCCTACCTGGTCCAAAGAGCCTACGTTACAACCCTTAAAGTCCTCTTAATTCATTGCTTCGCAAATTTGATTGTTTTATAGTAGGAGTTAGACGATAGGCGAATTTACGATTGATTCGATTGTTGACCAATTTGAGTGTACCCAGTGATATCTGAGAAAGAAATTGAGTGAGGCATAAATGATACACTTCTGTACTCGAGAGTTGATGTCATTCACAATGGCCAAGCTAATAGTTGAGGTGTGTGCTTGTGATCATTTGAATTCTTTTTGACTTAATTGATTGATTTGAGATTAGTCTTGCTTGAACCGTGTCCTTGCTCGTTTGTTTGTTTTTCTTTCCTTTTCTTTTCTTTTTGTTCGGGACGAACAAAGGTTTTAGTGTGGGGGAGTTGTTCGTTCCACTTTTGTCATGTTTTTCTTCTTTATTTCATGCTTAATTTCCCCCTACTTAGGTATTTTTTCTTTGGTTTTTGGTCCGTTTCGAGTCGTCTCGTACTTATCCTTTGTTTTAGTCGTTTTTGGTCATTTTGTTCGTTTTTCCCGATTTTCCGTATTTCTTGTCGGTGGTGATGTGCAGGTTTGGTGGCTCGGTGCATGGCTATGCGAGGTCTACTATCTAGATGGATGAGTTGGGGTCGTGTTAGAGAAGACGGGATCAAATTCCGAGTCCGGATGCGAGAAGACGAATCGAAAACACGATGTGCTGAAATCCTTCACCGCGGCCGCGGAGAAGAGGAAGTCGCGGCCACGAGATGCACAAAATTTCCAATTTCTGGCTCGGGGAGGTCGCGGCCGCGGAGACGGTCGCGGCCGCGAGATGTTGTTCGCCGCGGCCGCGGAGGGCTAAGTCGCGGCCGCGGAGGTCGCAACAGCAGAAATTTTATGCTGCGATTTCGATCAGTTTTTCATTCACTTTTTCACCTAGGTTTAGACTCTCTCTCGTTTTTATTCACTCCAGAACATATATTTCTCTTAGTTTTTCATAGGATTTGATCTTGGATTGTGAAAACACCAAGATTCGACTTTTGGATTCGGATTGCTCGCTGTTCCTTCAACATTGGATTCGTTTTTATCGTAAGCTTTTCTCTTATTTCATTAATGAGTGATATGTCTTTGCCTGATATGAATGTTGATGTTGAACTTGTGATGAGCAGCTAAATTCGTTAACTAGGGCTAGGGGATAATTGTTCCGGTTCAATTTCGTTTGTATGAATGTTGATTGCCAAGCTATTCGAGTTGTGCTAAATCTAGGGTTGAATTGATTGATCACCTTTTTAATCCACTAAATCGATCCTTAGAACCGAAAGGGGAGGGATCGATTGATCTAGGCTCGTTTAGAATAGACTTGTTCGGAGACGTATTGTCTATGTGCTGATTGATTCGATAATTGTTCGTTTATGTTTGTTCCCTTGTTTTGTGAGTTATTGAGGATGAATCTCTAAATGAATGAATTTTTCGTGTCCTTTGGCCAAGTGATTGATTGTCATTTAATGTATTGAGAACCGGAAACGATTGTCCCCGACTCCCTAGTCATTCTTATCATTCTTTGAATTGTGTTTTTGGAGTGTCAAATTGGAATTTCTTGTTTGAGTACCATTAGTTGTTAATCGCGTAGTTGATAATTCAAACCAACCAATTGAACTAGAATGTTTAGGATTTAATTTCTTTTTTTTTTGGTGATTGAATATACGTATAAGATAATCCGGCTAACCTTCCTTGAGACACGACTCGGTGATCGAATCTTTTGATTTAATTCCGGTAAAAATAACTACAACACCAAACTCCCCCTTCCGGACCAAGCATCTCGCTGGACTAGCCACTCTTACTGCCGGAGATCCTGAACCGGCCACTTTGTATGTGCGGGAAGACGGTGTGGTTGTTGCGAGCCCAAGCCCAACGCCCATGGATCATTTTACCGGACCTTCCTGATGAAGATGTGGTCATTGACCCTTACGAGCCTGAGGGCGAGAACCATGATGGCTTCGAGAGATGGCGCGAGGTTAGACGAGAAAGGATTCGAGGAAGAACTAAAAGGGGGTGCATACGCACTAAGGCGCGTGCACCGGCAGGACGCTGCAACCGAGTCGTGAGGCGTGCGAGTCTAGGTCGGGTGAAGCAAAGGTACGCGACGGGAAGTGCGCGCGAATGTGAGCAATGGGCCGACGACGAGTGCGAGAAGAAAATGCCCAGGAAGGTGGGCAACTGGTGCAAGGTTGCGCGAGAGAGCGACGTGCACGGAGAATGGAGGCTAAGGCAAACGGTGCACGAGGGGTGGAAATAGGGTGGACAGTGTGCACTTGGGGCGACTGCGGTGAGGCGGACGCACGAGTGAAGTGGGGTGCTATGATGGGCTCGATGAGAGGGTGCGAGCAGGGCGCGGCGGTTGGAGTCACGCGCGAGGCGTTGGACGAGCGCGGGCGATGGATCAAACGAGCGGGCGTGAGTGGTACACGTGCGGATGGGCTAGGCACGATGCGCCAGACGTCGAGCGAGCGAGAGGATGATGGCGAGGGGTCGAGCGTACGCGACACCCGCGCACGTGAGGGTACGCGCGAGATGGGGCACGCAGTCGAGCAGCGCCAGCGACGGGCGACGCGTGAGAGGGCGTGCGTGCATTACCGCGTGCGACAAAGACTAGGCTTGCGAGGCGGCACGCAACACGGACGACTAGGGTTTGGGTGCGCGACGACTTGGTAAATAAGCAAGAGATTTAGGCGTGATTTACTTAGCTTAATTAGGAGTCTTAGTTTGGTTAGGAGTTTGAATAAAAGGCATGTACCTATTAGTATTTTACTAGTTTGGTAAGTCTTTATTTACAAGATGTTTAGTTGCCTTAGGATTTATTTACTTGCATGAATTAGGAGATCTTCTTAGACTAGGATTAGATCTATTTGGTATCTATAAATACCCACCTATGTACCATTCGAAAAAGAAAGTTGATGATTGAATAGAAAATCGAACGTTTTGTTCAAAGTTCTCGTGTGTCTTCTCTCGTGAGTTTACATAGAGTTCGTGATAGAAATAGGACCAACATCCGAGTTTTGTCACAGTGATAGAAATAGGACCAACATCCGAGTTTTGTCACACCTATCGCGAAGTACGAAGTCGTTAGCACGCGTATTAGCAACCTATCGCTTCGAGACCAAGGCGTCGGCACGGGTTTCATGGCAAATCGAGTTGGACGGAACACACGATCCTTCATCATTGGTGCTTTCATTGAGAGTGATTGATCGTGTGTTGGGTTGAACTTTTTCTTCCCCATTCTATTTTCTTTTCTTTCGAATTTCTCTTTTTTGTGAGTATCAAAGAAAAAAAATATAGAGAGAGACGAGATGACGACACACAAAGAGAGGATTGAGGCCTTGGAGGAGAGTTTGAAATCCATCGGCAATGGTCAACACGTTGTCAATGAGAATTTCGCCAAACTCGAGCTCATGGTGCATGACCTCGCAGCTCACGCGCATCACTCGCCGACCGCGAAGGAGTAACACCTCGCGATCGACTACGGCATCGAGCAGCCCTGGGACCAACCACAATGACGATGACGGACGATCACGGAGGACCCGCGCATCACGCGCAACACGCCAACATGACGACCGAGGCTATGCGCGACCGAAACTCATTATGCCTATTTTACGGGGACCGATCCAAACGCGTGGTTAAGTCGAGCCATGAAATTTTTTGAGATCAATGACGTGCACAAGTCCGAGAGAGTCAAGATCGCCGTCTATTATCTCGATGTTGAAGCAAACACATGGTGGCAATGGGTGACACATGTATACAAGAACAAAGGCGAGCACATCCGGTGGAGAGATTTTGAGAAGGAGCTGGTCACACGTTTTAGGACGAGTGACTATTATGACTATGACGAGGCACTCTCCCGAATATGTCAAAGTGGTAGACTTCGAGACTACCAAAAGGAGTTTGAACGCATTGCAAGTCGGGTGCGAGATTGGACCGAGAGCGCATTAGTAGGCGCGTTCATTGGAGGGCTCAAAGTCGAGCTTGCGGCTGAGGTGCGATTGGACAGGCCAAGGTCCACATGGGCTATCGTGGAGTTCGCGCGATTGCACGAGGACCACATTGCAGCGGTGCGCAAGGTCGGCAGAGGCGAGGATCGCACGGACGCACGGCGCGCAAATGCTACAGCCAATGAGATGCCCCCACGGGTCGAGACCAAGCCAATCGACGATGGCGCACGGACCACGAGCCACATGCAACGGCTTACGATCGAGGAAATCCAACAAAGGCGTGAGAAAGGGTTGTGCTTTACATGTAATGAGAAGTTCACGCCGGGTCATAGGTGTGCGGGAAAGCAAGTGTTCTTGCTTGAATTTGATGAAGATGAGCTGGAACGAGAGGAGTACGAACACACCGAACAGACGGAGACCTTGCTGCATGTGATAAAGAGCAAGAAGAGGGATGCAAATAGAGGTCCGAAGATGATATGGTTTACAGAGACCGTACAAGGCGAAGAACTTGAAGTGCTAGTTGACAGCGGGTCAACACTAAATTTCATCGACAAGGAGCTGTCCAAAGGGTTGAAGACGCCAGTGACGAACATCAAGCAGTTTGCGGTGAAGGTTGCAAATGGATAGGAACTCAAGAGTTCCGAGCTATACAAAAGGGTTCCAATATTTACACAAGACCACGACTTAAAAGTTGATCTGTATGCTTTACCTTTGACGGGACCGGACATAGTACTGGGAGTTCAATAGCTCGAAACATTAGGGCCTATCACGACGGACTACAAGAAGGGCACTATGGAATTTGGACGAGCCCGAAAGCGAGTCAAGTTGCAAACTGAGGATCCAGGAGAAGAGCCTGAAGAAGTTGACGAGATCAATTTCATTATCCTTGAGGACAAGGAAATTCTCGAAGAGGGCGAGAA